CAATGTGTTTGTGTCAATGGTGTGTGTCAGTGTGTGTGTGTCAATGTGTGTGTGTCAATGTGTGTGTGTCAGTGTGCGTGTGTCAATGTGCGTGTGTCAGTGTGTGTGTGTCAGTGTGTGTGTGTCAGTGTGTGTGTGTGTCAGTGTGTGTGTGTCAATGTGTGTGTGTCAGTGTGTGTGTGTCAGTGTGTGTGTGTCAATGTGTGGTTGTCGTTTGTGTGTGTCAGTGTGTGTGGTCAGTGTGTGTGTGTCAATGTGTGTGTGTCAGTGTGTGTGTCAATGTGTGTGGTGTCAGTGTGTGTGTGTCAATGTGTGTGAGTCAATGTGTGTGTGTCAATGTGTGTGTGTCAGTGTGTGTGTTGTTGCCTCTTCCACTACTGAATTGTCCTGCACACCAGACGATGTAGTTAACATCCTGGGGAGAGAGACTCCAAACTCCAAACACAGCAGCAGCAGCAGCGTCGTCAGGTCGGGATCGAACCACCACACAACAACAACCACCACCACAACAACCACCACTACCACCACCACAACAAACACCACCACCACTACAACCACCACCACAACCACCACTACAACCACCACCACCACAACAACCACCACCACTACAACAACCACCACCACTACAACCACCACTACCACCACAACAACCACCACCACTACAACCACCACAACAACCACCACAACAACCACCACTACAACCACCACTACCACAACCACCACAACAACCACCACCACCGCAACCACTACAACAACCACCACTACCACCACCACAACAACCACCACTACCACCAACTACCACCACAACAACCACCACTACAACCACCACTACAACCACCACCACCACCACAACAACCATCACTACCACCACCACAAACCACCACTACAACCACCACTGCAACCACCACCACACACCACCACAACCACAACAACCACCACAACCACTACAACCACCACCACAACCACTACAACCACCACTACAACCACCACAACAACCACCACTACAACCACCACTACAACCACCACAACAACCACCACAACCACAACAACCACCACTACAACCACCACTGCAACCACCACCACAACAACCACCACTAACAACCACCACAACAACCACCACTACCAACCACCACTACAACCACCACTACCACCACAACTACAAACAACCACCACAACAACAACCACACAACAAACCACCACAAGAACCACTACAACCACCACCACAACCACCACCACTACAACCACCACTACAACCACCACCACTACAACCACCACTACAACCACCACTACAACCACCACCACTACAACCACCACAAACAACAACCTCCAACCTGGGTGCCGCCATCTTGAACTTGGCGATGGTCTCCGGGTTATGACGTCACCGGGAATCGTTTGTTCGATTCTCATCGATTATAATCGAATCTCATCGATTATAATCGTTGGTTTGCGCGTCTCTCTCTGCTAATCGATTCCCATCGATTATAATCATCGTTTTGCGTGTCTCCCTCTCTCTGATGATCGATTATCATCGATTACATTATCCGTTCCGATGGCTCCATGTGCTATGAGATGTTGACCACCTCGCCTGGTCTACAGGAGGCCGTGGGTTCGATCTCTCTCTCATCATCACGGTGGCTATGAGATGTTGACCACCTCGCCTGGTCTACAGGGGGCCGTGGGTTCGATCTCTCTCTCATCATCACGGTGGCTATGAGATGTTGACCACCTCGCCTGGTCTACAGGAGGTCGTGGGTTCGATCTCCCATCATCATCACGGTGGCTATGAGATGTTGACTACCTCGCCTGGTCTACAGGAGGTCGTGGGTTCGATCTCTCTCTCATCATCATCACGGTGGCTATGAGATGTTGACCACCTCGCCTGGTCTACAGGAGGTCGTGGGTTCGATCTCCCATCCATCATCACGGTGGCTATGAGATGTTGACCACTCGCCTGGTCTACAGGAGGTCGTGGGTTCGATCTCTCATCATCACGGTGGCTATGAGATGTTGACCACCTCGCCTGGTCTACAGGAGGTCGTGGGTTCGATCTCTCATCATCATCACGGTGGCTATGAGATGTTGACCACCTCGCCTGGTCTACAGGAGGTCGTGGGTTCGATCTCTCTCTATCATCATCACGGTGGCTATGAGATGTTGACCTCGCCTGGTATACAGGAGGTCGTGGGTTCGATCTCTCTCATCATCATCACGGTGGTGAGTGATGGTGGTGAGTGATGGTGGTGAGGGTGGTGGGGTGGTGATGTGTGGTGAGGGGGTGGTGGTGAGTGATGGTGGTGAGTGATGGTGGTGGTGGTGAGGCCACCTCCATCACTACCATCACCACCACCTCCACTATTACCACCACCACTGTAACGTCCACCAACACCACGACCTCTACTTCCAACATCACCACCTCCATCATCACCACCATCAACACCACCATCACCACCACCATCACCACCTCCATCATCACCACCATCACCACCACCATCCCACCATCATCACCACCATCACCACCACCATCACCACCACCCATCACCACCACCATCATCACCATCATCACCACCATCACCACCATCATCACCACCATCATCACCATGATCACCACCACCACACCACCATCACCACCACCATCATCACCACCATCATCACCATCATCACCACCATCACCACCATCATCACCACCAATCACCATGATCACCACCACCATCACCACCACCATCACCACCACCATCATCACCACCATCACCACCACCATCACCACCACCATCACCACCACCATCATCACCATCACCACCACCATCACCACCACCATCATCACCATCATCACCACCATCACCACCATCATCACCACCATCATCACCATGATCACCACCACCATCACCACTGCAACTCAGTTTGTACAAACTGAAATGTCGTGATTTTTATTTTATTTTACTTTTATTAATTTAAATTTTTACCTACGTGGCTTTACCGAAAGAAAACAACCTAAGAGTGTGTGTGTGTGTGTGATATCAGCAAATTCCATTGGCCAACATCTAATTTGTTTTATTTGAAGGCCACAACATTGTTGACGAACGTGCTGAGTGTTTTGTCTTCATGAGACGCGTTGTTGTGTGTGACCACCGCGTGTGCACACAATGCACGAGCTGGCAGCATGAGCGCTCGGCGTGGAGCGGTGGCGCAGTTGTTAGCGCACACACCAGAATGTTTATACTGGAGGAATCCGATGAGCGATAAAGCTCTTTTAGACAGATGTCCAGTCGGGGCAGGTCAGAACGTGCCAACAACAAACGACACAGAGACACAATAGGAGTCCTAAGTAGAGGAAAGGTAATCGAATCACTTACAAAATGTACACAAACTAAACTTAACTATTTTCTAGTTTAGTTTACAGCACTCCGCTGCAAATCCAGCAACTTGAGTTTCAATTCCCGGCCACTGCTGACATCAGCGGTGAGTCACATCTGAACCACATCGTGGTTGCCTTTCACCGCATCCCCGCGGTGACCAGCGTGGTGAAGTATGGTCAAACAATGCCCACGGCGAGGGGGAGGCATTCATCCAGCAGCAGGGCATGACACAGCGCTCCTCCGTACGTTGTGTGTCTATAGTTATACGAATCAGAATATTTATTTTAAATTTGAGAAATCCGATGATCTACGAAGCTCTATTTTTTTCAGAAGTTCAGAAGTTTCACTGGACGAGGAAAGCCCGGA